ATAGGAATGACTTACATGATGTAGGTATTCTTGGTTCAAAATTTACTTGGTGTAATAATAAAAGTGGAAGTGCCAGGATTCTAGAAATGCTGATATATGCATGCTGAATTCAAAGGCATTGGAACAAATCAATCAAGCAACAATAAGGCATTTGAATAGAATCTCCTCTGACCATTGTCCCATCATTTTGAAGCTGTTTAATAAACTTCCCAATGCCAGTAGATTACGCAAATTTGAAGACGTTTGGCTATCTTATGCAGCAGCTACTTCGGTGGTCAGAAATTCCTAGGTTAAACCAGTGAGAGGTGATGACATGGAAGCTCTAAACAAGAGGATGAATAGAGTCTTAAACGACTTATTTTTTTGGAGTAAGGCTAAGCATCAAAAACTTGAAGTATTAAAGAAGAAATTGAAGATGGAAATTAAAGAATTACAGCTTGAAGAAGCTTCAGATCAAGATTTTTCGGCCAGCAAAATCTTATCCTGAGAAACAAAATTTCTAAATTCAATTCTACTCTTGCAAGATTAAGTACTTTGTGGAGACAAAGGACAAAAGAAAAATGGATGAAAGGGGGGGATTTGAACTCTTCTTTCTTTCATGCTTATGCAAATGGAAGGAGAAATGCCAACTCTATAAGACAACTGAAGAATGAGGTTGGTGATTTTATTGAAGATCCAGCTAATATAAGAGACTATTTTTCTCAGTTTTTTGGGGAGAAATGGAAGCATAGAGACTGCAAATTGACCAATTGGCCTGTTTTTGAGAACATTCTGAACCAAGGAGATTGTGAAGTCCTAGAGGCTACTTTTACTCAAGAGGAATTGGAGAAGGTGATTAAGGAGCTTGGCAACAATATTGCACCTGGAATAGACGGGATTACATATTCTTTTTTCAAAGCTTACTGGAAGATAATTGGGAGGGATGTGTGGAAAGCCATACAACTTTGCTTTATTTCAGGTAAGATTTCTGCTAATTGGAAGGAGACTTTGGTAATACTCTTACCCAAAATAAGCAACCCTCTAGCTCCCTCCAATTTTAGGCCTATAAGCCTTTGTATGTCTATCTACAAAATTGTGGAGAAGATCTTATTGAATAGGTTAATTAAAGTAATTCATTGCCTGATAACTAAAGAGCAAGTGGCATTTATAAAAGGGAGGGCTTTATCTGATCACATGCTTCTAGCTCAAGAACATTTCCATAAATTTAGATTTTCTAAGTCTAAAAGAGGAATGGTGGCAATCAAACTTGATATGGAACAAGCATACGGTAGTGTGGCTTGGGACACCCTTAAGCAAATTTTGATTTACTTTGGCTTTCCTAGTAGATTTTCAAATCTAATAATGAATTGTGTTACTGATCCGATTTTCTTGGTTCAAGTTAATGGAGTGCTTTTGGAAAGAATTGTAGGGAGAAGTGGCTTTAGACAAGGGTGCCCTTTATCCCCATATTTATTCATTCTTTGTTCTCAATTACTCACTAAAGCATTTCTTTCCAATGGAAGAAATTTGGGATTAAAAGTTGCTCCTATGCCTCATAGGATCTCACACCTTCTTTATGCCGAAGAAATCTTAATTTTCTCAAACGAAAAAAAAAAGAGAACATAAGAAAATTAAAAAGATCACGGTGGAGTACTGCAGCTGGACAGGGCAGATTATTAATGTTAATAAATCTTCCATCATTTTTAGCAAAAATATGGAAAGAAGAAGGAGGAGGAGTATCTCTAAACTCATGGGGATCAAGGAAGTCAAAGAGCTCAATTATTTGGGAAATAAAATCACATTGAGGTGGCTTGTGGCTTCAGATTTTTCTAATATTCTGAAAAAAGCTGTTGGGAAATTGGATATTTGGGGTAAGAAACTCATTTCAACGGCTGGTAGAATTACCCTCATTAAATCTGAGATTCAAGCTATACACGTCTTCTACTCTACATTATCATTGTTGTCGTTATCTGTTCTCAAGAAGCTAGACAAATTATGTAGAGAGTTTTTATGGAATATAAATAATGGAGATAATGGGTTGCACTATGTGGCTTGGAAAGAAGTGTGTAAACTAGAGAATCAAGGACGCCTCGGCATCCAGTCTGCAGTAGAAACAGTAGAACCACTTAGAGCAAAATTGGTTTGGAAGTTCTTAAACGAGCCAAATTCATTGCTTAGTAGAACTTTGTCAGCAAAATATGAAAAAATTGGTTGTGATGAGGAAAGAAGGCCGAACTCTTCTTCAACTTGGAAATTGATCCTTAGTGGTGCTAAAGCTTTAAAACAAATAGTGAGATGGAACATTAAAGATGGGGTTTCCATAAATATCATGAAGGACATTTGGATACTTGATAGAAGATTGGAAAGTTGGCTTACTTTTATTTCATTTGAAATTGATAACCTTACTAATATCTCTAGCCTCATTTCGGAAGGAGCTTGGATCACAAAAGAACTACATAATTACTTCGGGGATGAACTAGTGAAGCATATTTGCAATTTGAAGATTGAAGTGGAGAATCTTGAAGACAAATTGGAATTACTGAAGGTACATTCCGGTAAAACTATTTTAGCTTTGGTAAAAACTGCTAGTTTTGACAAGGTTGAGGTAGACAATTCGTTTTTAAATGATTGGAGCTGCATCAAAAAGCTTAAATTAAATCCTCGTGTTTCCCATTTTTGGTGGAGACTTTTAAAGAGAGCTTTACCTACTACGGATTTCTTGTTACAAAGAAGGTTGATTGTGTGTAACCTTTGTCCAAGAGGTTGTATTTTGATTGAAGATGGAGAGCATGTGGTAGTTAATTGCCTAAAATTAGAAATGCTTATAAAAAAGGCCAACTGTTGGGGTTTTAATTTACCTATCCTCAATAATTTAAATGATGTTATTTCTTATTTGAAAAAACAAGGAGAGGATAATCTTTTTTTAGCAAATCTCTATTGTTCCTTAGTTTTCAACTCTTGGAAGAGTAGAAATTTGTTAATCCATGAAGGCAAAGAGATGGGAGACGGCATTATTGTGACAAATGTCATTACCTATCCATCTAGTTCATCTTCAAATTTTCATTCGGACTACTGGTGTGCTAACCAGCATGAGCCGATTTCTTCTTCTTGGCATCCCCCTCCACCAGGATGGATTAAAGTAAACATAGATGCTTCTCTTCAAAGTTCTAATGAAGCTGGGATTGGTCGAATCTTTAGAGACCACAAAGGTAGAATGCTTTTATCTTTTGGTTTTTCACTAATGCATTGGGATATTGGAGCATTAGAATGGATGGCTGTTCGTTCATTGAGTAAAGTCATTGAAGAATGGATGTTCAATGCTAAAGGCATAATAGTGGAAGGAGACAGTGCTAATGTTATTTCTCATTTTCAAAACTTGATGAAGTTGGACAAACGGCTAGTGGATAAAGCTTCTAAAGAGGACTTGGACTTTCTTAAAGAGTTTGAGGTAATCCTTTTTCATTTTGTTAATAGAAAATGTAATAAGTTAGCTCATTGGTGTGCTAACCATGCTTTAAAGGGTAATTTCCTTTGGGATGTTCTAGAAGTCAATAAGGTACCTCATACCTTTTATTCTTTGTTGAAGGAGGAAAGTGATAGGGTTTTTATCACTTAGACTTTTGTTCTTCCATTTATTTCTTTTTAATGCATTGAGCAGTCCTTCAAAAAAAAAAGATTTAATATGTCTTTTAAAGTAATTATTATCCTTCCACTATAGGTGCGGGAGACAATTTGCTCGTCATTTGGTTTAGTTGATTGGATGATTTTATATTATAAGATTGAAGTTATTAGATTTCTTACAACTATGGATAAATAGCTTAAAAAATGATAAAATATGCGCTTGTCATCATCAAGAATTAACTGAAACGTTTTTAAATTTAAATTTTTCGACATATGCCCAAATATATATATATATATTAATTGACGCAAATTATGAGAAGTTTGTCAGGTTTTCATCAACTCAATGAAGGGGCACCTAAAAAGGAATTGGCAATTGTCAAGCAGATACTTTTCCTTCTTTTAATTTATCATTAAAATACTGACAAAAAAGTATTGTTTGGATGGGTCTGCTAATTTGTTAAGGCACAAAACAGAGGTAAAAACAAAAAAGGTTATTGAACATGTCTCAGCTTGTACAGTAGCAAGCCATATGCATATGAGAATTTCCGCCTATGCAATAAAATAACTAAAAGAATTATAAATACTTTTTCAGTATTGACTGCATTGTTATAATATTAAATGTAAAAAAAAATTGCATTGTTATAATAAATTTGAAACAAAAAGTCAAATTACATCATAATTACTAAGAACTTTCCTTTTATCTTACTACGATGCCATCTCTTGTCTGATCCCCTTAAATTTTCTTTTGCACAATTTTGCAGCAATGTTCTTTATACTAAAAAATTTGATCTGTATCTTTCAAAGACGTGTTTTATTGTGGAATTTAAAAGGAAAATAGAATATTAAGACCGAATATAATTTATAGACAAAAATTTGAAAAAAAAAAATTTAAAATTTATCAATTTTGAATATCATTATTATTAAATTTGTATTCTTTGAATAAATATCTCTATCAAAGATAAAGCTATATGATGCTAACTTTCATATAAAATAAGAAATGATGGCCTCTAGTTGACTTTAATCTTCTAAAGGAAATTTTTATATGATTTCAATGTGGCAGATTAAGATCATGTTTCTAATGATATAATCTACAGATGATATTTAAAATTGTAGAATATTATATAAAATTGTTGTTTTCATTATAATTAATTTTTAATGAGAACAAAACCAAGCATCCAATTGGCTAAAAACAGTAGCTTTGTGATGGAATATAGAATTAAAGAACAAATTATATGTATGCGCTGTTAAATGCATCGAAAGCCATCAAACAATCCGCTTAGAGCCATGCTACCTTATGCTGTCATCTATTCTGGTTTTGAAAAAGAAAAAATCTCCTTATTTTAAACTTTCATCTTGCGAGGATATATAATCAAACAGAAGAAAATAGTTGAACAACTTACGCAATACCCTCAGCTGAGCCAAGGGCGATTCGCATGCGCATCTGCCAGTTGAGCAGCACCTCGCCGGCATTGTGACCATGCAGATGGCTTAGAAGGCTGCGGTTGGGCATATAATCATAGATAATGAGCCGTTCGTCGCCGCCGGCGAAGTAGCCCCTCAGCCCCAAAAGATTCTTGTGCCTCACCCTTCCCAACACCTCCACCTCCACCACGAACTCCATCTCCGCCATGGCTGTCATCGTCTTAAGCCGTTTTACGGCTATCTGCTTCAACCATTTGTTCAATTAATTAAATTTTGACGGTATACGGCCTTTAAATGCTAGAAAATACGTTCAGTGATAATTTTAAAATTTTAAACATATCTGACAAATACTTAAATCATTACAAGAATTAATAAAACTCGATATTCTTATAAATGTTTTTATTTTATATAATAATTAATTGTGTGAATTTATGTTTGAAAATTATAATAAATGTATAAGAAAGAGTAATCATCAATTAATCTCTTTCCAGAATGAAAACAAGATCATGTATATATACAAAAATGCTTATTGAACACATGCAATAAGACATTTTATAAGATCACTAGATCTGATCACCTCAGAACCTGCGGCGGTACGGCCCCAATATACCGTCCCGAAGCCGCCCTCGCCTAGCATGTAGTCATCATGGAAGTTGTTTGTGGCGTGGAGGATCTCCTTGAGGCTGAAAATCTCCCATGGGTACTCATTGACGCCGCTAGATGCGACCAAGCTGCTGTAATTTATTGAAATAATGGTTTACTTTTTAAAAATTAGATTATGGTGGAAGGACTCAACTGTCTCTTAATTATAAGCCTCAAAATATTAGCTGCAAGTTCATCAGAACGGACGTTTCATGTCTTATCGGCAAAGTGATACTTGCCAATTTCAATGTTGCGTCAAAACTCCATTTCCCTTCAAGCTCTCTCTCCCTCTCATACATTTTATGCACTCCCACCCAAATACCCTCTTTTCTCACTTCAATTCATTAGAATTACCTCGCCCTAATACTGAAGCTATTGCTAATTCTTCTAAGTTGCTAATGTCTTTCATTTCAAGCAAAATCGAGCGCTATAGGACCGAACAAGTTATCAGTACATATATTTCAACTCTTCATTAAATTGATATATTTATTTATCTAGTCGTACCGCATTAACTTTTTTAA